CAACTTATTTTGAGGTCGAATGATTATTTAGAAGTAACTCGATCTGCAATGCAATCTGTTCCAAGAGATATACATCGATGTGATCCAGCCAAGTATATTTGGAGTATGAAATATGACTTGGTTTTTAAACTATTATTTTTTTTTATTAATAGTGGATTATTTATTGATAGATGAAACATACGCCGAGCTGCAATTTTTATTTCAGAAAATTGTTGTTAATGAAATTCAAGTTTTTCCGGTGGAAACATGTTCATTAGATTGCTTTTCAATTGATTCTACTCTTATCCACCGGTGTTATAGCTGGTCTGCAGCTCCATCTCAAATACGAACTTACTGTCCAAAGCGATATTGTCGTGGTCGAATGCAACGCTGTGCCTGGATTGGATCAGTAACACTTTGTGAACTGGTAATACTTGAAGGAAAAAATAATAAATACCATGAATAACATTATTCATGATACTCTTTTTAACAGCCTCCTGAGTCGAACAGACGTTATGAATGGATACAGAGTGAAAATGGACGCTATGGAAGTTACTCTGAAGAATGTGATGGAGAAAGAAGGGCAGTTAATTTATCGATGTCTGGATTTTACAACTGTGACAATTGTTTGTGTGATTGTATAGAAGAACGAGCTGATTCTGAAGCTCTACGAACAATAAGTTTAAGGCCTCAGATGTCCAATGTCGCAGCAAATAAGTAAAGAAGAATTGCCTTTATTTTTTTAGTCATAAAAAACAATAGTTTGAGTATGAACAAAATTTTAATGAAAAAAAATTCTGAAAAAAGTATTCTTAGAGATGAGAAAAAATTTTTTTTTGTTAAAATTGAATTTTATCTCAAGCGTAAAAACGTGACCAAGTTGCTATGAATTATTGTCCCCATTACAGGGTGATTACAGGTGTTAGATTTCTTCTAAAAAACAAAGTACTTCACCTACAGATAGAAGAGTCTAAGCTTCTACCCCACGGTAGAATCGATACTCACAATAGGAGTTGGGTGTATATTGATGAATGGGTGTATATGTCGAACGTCTCTAGGGGTGGATTTTATATGATAAAAGATGATGAGCAAATTGATCTACAAAATGAAGTGGATTATTCATTTATCAGATCAGACCAGCGAATCATGCACTTAGATGTCATAACTGCTCCTTATGATCATCTTATAACAGGTGTTAGATTTAATCATGTGTCGCCACCATGGCCAGATCAACCAAATGATAGTCCACTTCATATAGAAATCTTTGTGACACCGTATAGTTATAATAACGGTACACTGGATATTCGACATGGTGATCATTCTCATTGGGTAACACCACAAACTCTGTACAATCCACCTTATCATTACTATCGCGAGAGGTATGAAATAGTCATTTTAATTCCAATAATTGAATTGTTCCTCTCAAACAAAATGATTATATATCAAATGAATAATCTTCTTACAGGACTGAAGTGAAAATATCGAGACCAACAAATCCTATCAAAGCTCCATTTAATGTACCAGATTCAATGCCCAATCAATTTATCAAATTCCGTTCCTCTGATATTTGGAAAGATGCGGGACAGTCTACTATTCCATTCTTTGATTTACAACCAATTAGTTCATTACGCGAGGCTTTGGACTGCTTGGGCATCTTTCACAAAGGAGCTAAAGGCTATGGTGGGTTCATTGCTTTACAAATATGTACCCTAGATATTTCTAGACACTTGAAACCATTGACTGAAGAGGAAGTCGAATTATATAAAACCACTAATGTTTCGACACACATGACTGGAGTCTCACACAGGGTAGAGTAAATATATCGAAAAATATTGTATCCAATTTTAGACACTTTTTTTCTACCCGTTTATTTCTGTGTGAACGACAGCTGCAGTGTTTTATTGATTAAATTTTTTTTTTTTTCAAATAATTATCAGACATGATATTTCTATTTTTAGATTCATAAAGTTTGGAATATTCTTAATGGAAAAAAATCTTTATGTCACTATTTAAAATGTAATTGATGATATTTTTTTCTCATTAGCATTTAATCTTTTAATGATTGATGATTATTCAATTGCTCTTTAACACTAGAAGAATTTTAAATACAAGTTAGGAAAAAAATTCATTAACTAAATAATCATTTTCTTTGTTCATACAATCATAGTCTCGTTGTTCAGGATTTCATCAATATTTAACACTTCAATTTATCTCACATTTGAAAAGGTTCATTCAAAAAAGTTGCTCAAACTAAGTAATACAAATACGTTTTAAAATTGATTTAAGAGTTAATTAAATGAATCATTAAAAATTGAAAAACATTTTGCTAACTACAGATTTTTTTTTGTGCCACAAATAACCTTGCAAAATACTCAACACCGAAATTGGTACAGCAACGCGCCTACTCGTCAATGTAACATAAATGATCCGCGTGGGACGCCTTGAAGAAATACAACATACCCTAATATGGAAGGAAAGAAGTTCAATGGTCTTTTTATTAAACGCATGTTGTGCGCCTGTTTTCAACCGGTCTTTCACGTATAACTTGATCATCCAATCGTTTTCGCTTACTGCATTGCAGCATAGCAATTTTTCTTCCATAACATCTCGTGATATAAAGTGACAAAGCGTTTTACAAACCAGTTAGGATGTTGCTTCTCCCTTACATCTTACAAATAAAAAAAAAGATCCAGTTGACAAACAATATCTAATATCCTTCCAGTTACACGGAAAATGATGAGTCTCTTGCTTCATTTTTTTTTTCTATTTGCATTCAGTCAGCCTTCTCTAATGCTTCATTACGTTGATTTCACAATCTAATAGTTTTCATTAGAGAGAGCAGGAACCCATGAGTTATTGTGGAGGTTCGTTATCTAAAATTCGTTTATTTTAGTTGACTCTTCTGTGAATAATTAAATCTCAACATTCATTCTTTAGTAGATTACAAATTTTATTTGATAAGTGTTTTAGGACGTTACCTTATAACACCCGAAGGCATTCTCTTGTGCTCTTCGTTAGTGACATTCTGTTAAAATTTCATTTAATCTTTTTAACCGAGTTGTATTACCATATATATACATACATATTAAAGCCATTCTCAATTACTTGGATACTTTCTCCAAAAAGCCTTCAATGAATTGTTTATGACATCACAGATGAAATTAAAAATTCTTTAATCAAAAATTAATAACAAAATATTACAAAATTAATAGATTAATGTTGAATCAAATGATTTGAGATTTTATTCTGCTTAGAATTGTTTTAAGAAGCAAGAATTGTGGTCATTTGAAGCACAAATGACATTTACTCATTCTGACATCCATCATAAAATATTAGCTCTTATATTCCAAGTATGGAATTTTCAAGGATTTAGGTGCAATGTCGAAAGATATTATGTCAAATGTGCATGTGGTACATGAGCATATTTACAATAAAGACCCAGTAAATATGTAATATCTTCCTATGCATACAGATTCGACCTTTCGAAAATCTTTTACATATTAAAGCTCTCTCCAGACAATTTTGAGTTGAATTTAATTATTCAACAGCACTTTAGATAAATGCATTAAATGCAAAAATAATTTGCATACATCATGATGTGATTAAAAAATAATAATCTTGTTTTCACTCGATGGTTCTTGTGAAAAATTTGTAGATGCAAAGAATTTACAAAGCTTGAACAGAAGCTCCTTGAGCAGAACTCGAGCATTAAAGATGCACAATTACGTACGTTCTTTCTAGCACTTTCTAAGAGAGATATACAAGTTTTGAACAAGATTTTCGTTCTATAGAAAATCGGATTTCAGAACAAAATGAAAAAGAGAAGTTAAAGGTCAGCTTAATGTTAAAAATTGCAAGATCAACTCACTAAAATTCTTTTTAATCCAATATAATATTGAAGCCATTCACTCTTTTTCTCACCGTAAATATGATAAATTTATAACATTCAGTATATATATATATAGTGAGTACATGTCAGTGCATTTCATAAAGCTGAATTGGCCAATCTATTATGTTAGAATATATGTGTGACTCTATACGTAATAAGAGAGAAATATCGAAGCAAACATAACTTTCCGTAATGTGAATTGTTCGAGTTTCAGCCGGCTAAACAGCTTAATACGAGAGTAAGCTTTTGTTATTACTTGACTATTTTTCAACGCTACGTTCGTTGTTTCGCTTCAACGAAGTAAAACAGCATATATTGACATACTCTTTGTGAAACAAATGCTTGTTTAAAATATCAAAAGAAGCACTATTCTTTTTTAAACCCATTTTTCACTTACTATAATAATAAATACATTGACAGAGTGTAAAAATTATATTCATGATCCAAACAAAACAACTAAAAATGTATCATAATTAATAAAAAAATTGAATCGACATTGATTTGTTAATCATAAACAATATACTCTCATATGATGAAATTTTTATGTTATAATTTTATAATAAAAAGACTTTTTGTATTTATTAAAAAGTTCTAAAATTGTGGATTAAAGATTAAAAAAAATTTATTCATTTTTACTGTTCAGTCTTTTCTGTGTACTTTGTCCTACATCATCCATCCCTCTGTACAGAATATTACTAAAGGTTTAGGATTAGTTTCTCACTTCTGTTTCTCATGTATACATTTCTACTGGACGTGACGTTTTCGTAATTGGACCATTAGTAAGCCGACAGCAGTACACACAGTCTTTAGTTACACGGTAACATCGTACAACTCTATAGTGGTTTACACCATATGGCGACGGTTAATTATTACCATGAAACTTTTCAATTATTATCATTTCATCATTAATTGACTAACTGCATGGTTCTGTATAGTAATTTGAAGCATTGCCATTTGAATATTATTTGCCCTTCGAATATACTCTACGTAATCACAATTAGAAAAGTAACTTCAACTAGTTTAAATTGCGCATTCATCAGTGGAGTTTCAAGTAAAGTAGTTAAAATAAGTAAGTGAAAAGACTTAAAAGTAATTTAATCAAATTAAAAGCATCTTTTGACTGTTCACTTACCCATCAGGACCTGTATCGTGTGTTAAAAATGACTTGGGCAAAGAAGACGAACGTTGATGAGGTTCAAGAAATTTCCCACCATCTGGAGATTCTCCACGTTTTGCTGGAGCGCTGCCAGGTCTTAACTGCTCTGATTGTGGCTCTTGAAGGGTTCTCAATGATCCTGCTATCGCGTCTTCCATAGGTGTTGATCCTCCACTACTTTTAGGATTTTTTGGGCTCTTTGTTACGGTTCTGTCAGATGTAGTAATCCAGATATCACTGCTAGATGAAGACGAAGTGGTAGTAGAAGATACAGCACCGCCACTAGGTGATTTCCCTATGGCTTTAGATTGTATTGGCGATACTCGTCGACCAGTAATTTCTCCGTGAGCATTTCGAAAGTCTCGTCGGGTAGATTGATCTAATTCATTTTGTGAACCCAATGGTGATCTTCGAGGTTGTTTTAAAACACTTTTTGGTAAACGTTCTTCGTGCTTAGAAGTTTGAAAATGACGTTCAGATCGTTGTCGAGATTTTCGTGATTCTCGATCGTCAACATCAAGAGATGCTGGAGAAGAACAAGCACTTCCCCGGTCTCGTGTTGAATGACTAATTATGTTGTCTGTAGAAACTCTACGATGTGATGGATAGCTTTGAGAGAGTTTCATAGAAGCCTGATTCTGATTAGGTGAGCAAAGAGTTTCTCGCTGTAAACAGTGAGGCCAAAAATCACAGGTGCTAGTGTTACATCGCACTTTTGACTCGGAAGAAATATTAGATGTATTTGTGTTGGGAGTTGTTGCTCCTCGTTGAAGTGTTCTTGGCCGTCTACTTGACTGCTGCTGTTGTTGTTGTTGAGCATAATTAATAATAGATTGCTGATGACGTGGCTGCTTTGCTGAGATAAAATATACGTCATAAGGACCTGTTGTCGCACGTCGATCTACTGTATCGTCACGATTTTCATATCGTCCTGAGTGAACATTTCTCGTTATTGGTCGACTTCTTGTCCCATAAAGGTACTCTGTAACTGTTACTTCATTTTCACGATGAACTTCAGCATTAATTGTTTCCTCAGTAGATTTAGCCTTGCCTGAATTTGATAAAAAATATATTTTTAAGTCACCTTATGATTGAAAATAAATTTGAAAATAAAAAATTACTTACGAGTAGATAACGGATGCCTTTTAGGTCTATCAGCACTTCTGTCATCAATAATTTTTACAACAACTCGATTAGAATCATTTAGTTCACGAGAATGTTCTCTTGATAACTGTTGCGAATGATTAGTCGATCCTGGTGATCTCTTTTCCGGTAATTGAAGACTCTTCGAACGTCGAACTCGACTCGATTGCAACGAGTCCGGTGAGAGTACAAGCGTATTTCTAAAACCCTGATGCTGTCGAGATTGGTTTGATCGTTTGAAATGGTTAGGAGTTGGTGATCTTCCAGTGCGATCAATACTACTGGTTGAAGAAGTAGAAGAAGTCGACGATGAATCAAATGATAACCTTCCAGCGTCCGATGAACCTGGTGATTTCCGCGATGATTGCTGGTTACGACTTAATCGTGATTGTCTTCCGGAAGGGGATAATCTGTCTTGATTAATTCCTTTTCCTTCAGGAGATGAATCTAATGTTGTTCCGGAGTTTGACATAATACTATTTATGAGAGAATCAGGATTGTCTTCCTCATCACCGTCATCGTAGTCCTCTACAGAAGAATCTGTATTTTCTGCTAATCTAGGCATTGTCATCCTAGTGACACAACTGTCAAGACTTCGAAATCCCATTGAAGACGAGGACGATGATGAAGATTCAAGGTATCTCTGAGCAAACTGCGAGCGCCTTGTACTCGACTGATCCTCTAGGGATTTAGCTGACGCAAGTCTATATTGTTTGTTGTCTTGTCTCGATTGTGATACACTACTAGCACTCCCGGACACTTGAGAATTCGCCTGACGTCGTAATCTTGGTTTACCAGACATGTTGGATATTTTCCTAGATATCAAGGATAAAGAGGCCCTATTTTTATTTGGGGGCGGTGACGGAGGTGGACTGATGACATCACTGTCGATAATAGCATTTGAACGTGGTAGAAATGGTGCTTTTCCATAGGTACCCATTGAACGTGAAGAACGCGTTCCTCTTTTTGCTACATCTTGAAAAGCCGGCGGTGGTGAAATGATTGGTGTTATTGAAGGTGGAGAAAATGACTCTGGAATACTGTGAGGAGACTCACCACCACTAGGTGGCTCGAATTCTGTACTATGAAGCTTTAGAAAATCTGGTCGATGAGAATCTAGTGTATGACTGCCCATATAATCTGGGCATTTGCCTGGCTCACTATTACTACAGTGATAATCTACGAGCTTGACTGCCACACGTCTTGGTAGTGGAATTGTGCCAGTCACAGCACTGCTATTTCCACTGCTGGTCACTTGAGGATTACTTTCGTATTTGTTCTTACGATTCTCATCAAGAGATCGTTGTTGCACTTGAACCCATCCAGATCTTCCGAGATAGACGCCATCCACTTCACGGTCGCACCAGCGCACCGGAGATAATTCCCTACTACAATTTCCACTAACGAAAAGCTCTCCTGATGTGCCGCCACTTCCTGAGAGGAATGAATTTGTTGCGTCACGCCTTCGTTGACTTTGTGTCTCTTGACGACGATGATGATTTCTAGACGTTGATGTTATGTTTCCAATAGTCGAGTTTCCGCTCGCTATTGTAGCTGTCTCATGACGCTTCAAGCTTGGTATTGAACTAGCACGACTGTAAGTATTGGATCTATTTCCTGAGATATTCAACATCTGACCGGTTTCCCAAGAGTCTGTGGAAGAAATACCTCGCAGATGGAGAATTGATGCATTCGATGTCCTGAAAACGTCATACATATTTGATCTTTGAAATACTTTATTCACCATAGGAAAAATTTTTTGGTTTGTTTGTCACGCATAGAATATGATTTTCGTTTTAACGTTTTGATTAAAATTAAATCAAAAAGAAATTTCATCAATTAATTATTTCTGCCGTTTAAAAACATGAAATAAAACAATTATAAATGTAATTAATTAATCATCAAATTACGCTTCTAATGAATAAATAATTGACTCTCGAAAATAAATATTTATAAACTGATATCTTTTCGTTCATTTTGTAATTATCGAAATGTAATTAAAAATATATGATATTATTAATTATAAATTGACAATAATGAAAACAATGAAAATTCATGATAATAACAATTATATAACCAAAATGATTATTATTTACGTATCTATATTTATACAAATAATAATATAAAAGGTTCTATAAAAATGTAATAACGATATCAAATGGATATCGATAGCTTGTTGAACATATATGAGTATTCCTATCTAAACTATCAAAGATTTCCCGTGTAAATATTGACGTAGTATTCTGATAATGTAACCATTACACCAAATTTCAAAAGTTTTAAAAATTTTGAAAGTACTCTGGGGAAAGTTTCGCCACTTGGTGATGCTCTTTACAGAAACTAATATTAGAAGTATCGATAATAGAGTTAAAGTTTTAAGTAGCAAAAATAATACACTATCCATATAGTTTAAAAAAGATAAACTAGATATATTTTCAACATAAAGAGGATCAGAGATAAAAAATAATATTATTTACCTTTCAGATCTTTCTCTTGATCCACTGACTGAAGGTGTCGTTGTTGAATTAGCAATCTCTTTTGGGTCTGAAGCTGGACTGACCCGTCGAGGTTGTTGGACTGAGGACGAAGTAGTATTTCCACTGACGCCTACGAGGCCCACGTGGCTTCCCCCATCGTCTGTTGAATGTTGTCGCGAAGATTGTTGCGATGTTTGTGAGTGCCATCGTCGTTGATTCGACCTTGAAGACACTGATCCCGAACTCGGTTGATGACCTGATGACGATGATGTTGGTATATTTCCTCCTACGTTTCCACTTCCACCACCACCACCACCACCACCACTGTCTAACGAGGTATTCTGTAAGGCAAATTTATTCTTAAGGGTGCTTATGTAATGTTTGCACATGAGACATTAAAATCGTTATATATCTTATACGACAGAATTATCATTCATACTATGTGTATTTCATAAATGCAAATTGGAATATAAACTCCTCTTTATTCTAAAGCATCTATTTTAGCTGCATTTAAAAAAAAAATGCCAAAAAAATACCAAGTGTAATTTAAATCAACGTATTTGAGTTTTCAATTTAAAAAATCTTTTAACTGAATGTTTCATATGTTAATTAACATGTATAAAATCTGACTTTGAGAATCAATATTGAAAAAAGATATCAAATGAAAATGGACGATTGAATTCAATCTAGAATTCGGAAAGGTAAAGTGAACTTTGATTGGACAAGAACCTGGGTCGATTGCGATTACCCAGTTCCATCACTAACTCGCTCGAGAATTCAGGGAATGAGGTGAGAGCAAGATCAGTAACTGGTTTCTCCGTGAAATGTTGTAGTTGATACAGTAAATGTACGTTCCACAAAACCACTCAATAGTTGCTATTTAAGGCAATGATGTATTCAAAAAATTGAAATTCCACTGAACATACACTACTGTAGTGGAATAACACTTGTTAGGGAGTACTCTATTAATATGGAATAGGCTTGTAATAATATAGTTGAATTCTGGTAACCAAGAGCTATATTGTGCTTGTAAGCAGTGCACATGGTTTGTTTTCAGAAAATGCATAAATGTTGCATCTACGTTGTATATATTTAATTGGATAAATATTGTAATGCATGAAAATCTAGCATCTTTATGTTTACTTTAAAATGTTGAAACTTTAAGAATATTTCATATTCATTTAAGTGTACTTAAAATGGTAGAAGAATGCTTGCTTCATACCATTAATAAAGACAATTCACTTTGCCCTTATTTATCTACATTCAAGATGTTGATTTCATTTCCATGAAAGAGGAATTTATCAGATAAAATATAAGTTTGTTGAATGAAGATTAACACCTCTCAAGAATCATTCAGACTCACTTGGTTGAGGTGACACTTTTCGAATATCCATCCAACACCAAGTATCCCATCAGAGAAAATTCTTGTTAAATATCAACTTGAAATATTTTTTTATTCCAGAAAATGGAATAACATTTTACAGTATTAAATAACTTTGTCTTTCAAATATTATGACTCTTCTATATGTAAATGATTCTAAAATACTCACATTAAAATGGTTATTTTTCGTATTAATTGAGTCCTGAAGCGATGAACCTCGCATATAAGGACGAGCAATAACTTCAACAAGCCTTGATCTGTTCGTTGAAACATTAGCATTTGAACCACTAGAGTTACTTGACTTGGCCTTAGAAGCTGACGTTCCACTTTGATTGGTCAAATTTGGATTGCTGCCCTTACGGTCCGGGAAAACGAGATGTTCAATGTTAGCAGTGTATCCTGGATCATTTCTGACGATATCTTGGAGCGTAATCCGAGCATTGCCACTATATAAAAGCAAACAGATGAGTTTGTAGGGAGTACATTTAGATGAAGGTATTAAATTGGTGAGAAGTCGTGTGAGTTGAGCGAACATCACTCACACACGAGAGATGATGTTATTAAACATAGGGTGTGCTTCAAAAGGAGACTTATCAACGAGGTAAACTCTATTGGGAAAATTCCTCTGAGAAGTTTAGCATTGCTTTCTACACGTTACATCAGCCCTTATAATTTGCTTGGTATTCCCATATGGATTGAGAAGTATGCAATCTCTAAACTCAATCTGGGCACTTGGATAACAATACTTTAGAAAAGATTAAAAGCTTTTGTTTAATGGTTATCTGAAACAAAGGGTTTAACTTTTTCTAGAGTTAAATATTTTCATAATAATTATCCAACAATTTTTTTTTGATGCTAGCTTTTTGTGTTTACTCACCAACGATCGTAATAAACTGAAATAATTTTCAGAGCAACGTTAATCTGTGCGACTAAATTCACACAAATTACTGACTTTACTAGATATATTTAAACTGAGGACGTATTTGATAACTTTCTGTGCTTGTACGGTTGTGAAATATGAAACTATGATGATAAATGTATTTAACATTTAATATTTATAAAATTAAGTAATTAAATACTACAAATTAAGATTATAAATATTCTCTTTGTGAGTGGAAAAAAATTTTTTAATTTATAATACTATAAATTGAGCTTCATAAAATTCTCTTTGTAAAATTCCAATCTCAGAATTTCTTCTGAATAATTATTTAAAGCTTTAATTGAATAAAAATGGTATAATTATTCACGATTATTTTATGCAAGGTCTTCAAATCAATATCAGTTATCATATCAATGAATTTTTTAATTAAACAAAATTGGTCGTTAAAAAACATTCATCACGCAAAAATATATTCTCTCAACTCATTGCACAGAACTTTGTTCTGAACATTTAATTGGGGCATACACTTTTTTATTTTCCTTTTTTTTTTTCAAAATTCCATTTTTCATTTTGTCAATGTTTAATGAATTCTGCAGTGGACTCAGTGATTCTTGAAACGATTTCTCTTTTTTTTTTTGCAACATCTGCTTTGAAAATGGTACTAAATATCTCTCTTATTGATGTTGAAGCTACTATCATTACGAACAGAAAAATAATAACATAAACTTTTATTAGATAAACAATAAAATTATCTCAACCTAATTTATAAAATTCATCAAGTACTTTACTTTTCATGACTAATATTATTGCTTAAGACAAGTTAAACATGAAATCGTAATTATGTGACCTCTTCCACCTCTGGAAATTTCAAAACTAAATAATTCATTGCTATTACTGAAATTGCTAAATTAGTTAGAATAGTTGAAATTATTAGAATAAATTCTTGACCTCAGACAAAATTATTATAAAAAGTTTTAAATCCATATTTCACTATTATTGCTCTGAATGAATGTGATTGCTTTTGGATACCAGATTTTGATTTGACTAGGTTAATTGTAAGCTCCTTGCACCACTTCTCAGATTTTGATTTGTTTCGGGATTGGTTGCTAGATGTCTATTATTAGACAAAATGAACTGACAGTGATTTGAATTTCTCTTCACGCAAAATCGATCCAAAAGAACATTGGTTGGTATTTTCATGCATTAATAAAGCTAAGACTGTAGCTGGAAACATTTTAGTACAATGGGAAGGAAACAATAAAATGAATACCATGACAGTAAAATAACTATAAAAAGCTCCTCATGAAGACTATTTTCTTGGATTTTTCATCATGAGAATTTTGCAAGTTAGGACTATGAATTAGTTAAGAAAAAAAGTAACTATTTAATGCATTTATTTAGCTGATTAATGATCTAATTAATTATCCAAGTTTTAAACTTTTTGAGATATTATTCGCTTTTTAAAAGTTACTTACAGTTAATTATAAATGAATTTGAATTTAATTTGATTCCAGAATATATAAAACTACTTTTTTTTACTTTATATCATATCAGTAATGATATAAAAATATTTTGGAGTAAAATTTTAATTCGAATAACATTTCAACTCTCTTATAAAACTACTTCAAAAAGCATTTTATATACTGTTAATGGAAAGATAATTTTTTTTTAAATTTATTGCTAGAAAAGTTACTAGTGTATATTATCTACTTTTTCTCCAAGAAAATTCTCTTCGTGTACCAAAACTAACTGCCATACAATTGGAGCTTGAAAAAGGAAATGTATCTAGATCTGTATTACCCAGAAGAAAAACCATGAGAGGATTTTTGGCCTCTTCTCTTGCCACTCCCATGGCCTGGCTTGATATTGGTCGTTTCAGCTAGCTGAAGTAATCGACTACAATGCTGCCGAAGCAGCGGATCCTCGCGTCGGTTCATTCTTCGCCTCGATTGTTCATCTCTGGGAGGATCACGATCTAAAATTCAATTTCAAGCCATATTCTATATTTTGTAATCCAATAAATACTTAAATAATTTTATAACAATAGAAGTAATCATGTCATTATGATTTAAATTCATGAATTATATCTATTTAGAATCATTTGATAGAAATTTGAAACTTATTAAGATATGTGCATTCAACAGTGCAAAATAAAAATTTCAAAATAAATTGAATGAAAGACAAATAAGAATAATAGGAATAAAAAACTTAAGCTGTAGTGTTTTATCATTGTAGTGAAATGAGAACGTGGTTGTATTCGTTCTATTTGATAGTGTCGCGTCGATATTGGAAATAGGACGATGTAACCAGCTTTTCTATACACATATGCCAAATAATGTCATTGCATAGGCACAAACAATCAGAAGAAAAAAAAAAATTGAACGTTTATATTTATAACATGAATGCATTCTCAGCTGCACATAAAGTCTCTTCAATATATTTTTACGTGAATGCATAATTGAACCACGAAAATTATTGCAAATATTGATTGAAAAAAATGAATAGTACTGTTATCTCTATTTATTAAACATCATTTTATGAATATTTTGTAATTAAGCAATAAATTAATTACGACTCGAGTTTTATATCAGAAACTAAATATGAATATATTTATAGATAGGAACAAATTAACTCGTTCTTTGATTGCGAATGTTTATTTCTTGTTGACTTAAATCATAAAATGGAAGTGTAACAATAAACGGTAAAAGCATTTCTCATGTGTACGATTAATAATACGCCTGCAGCAGTTTTGTTTTCCTATTGTATCTACACGGTTTATTCTTGTTGTATACAATAAAATTTAATCTAACGGGTCAATTAATATTATCAAACTTAGTCTAATGACTTGAAAGTAAGTTGAATAAAGGAGGTGTTAATATTTTTATCTATTTCAATAAAAAAAATCATTTTGTTTTAGATATTCACTTTTTATGCTGAATATTCAATTAGTTCAATTTTACAAGGTTAATTAAATTGTTCATTATTTTTTTTTTTTTAATGAAAAAATATTTATAAAACTATCTCCAGACTCTAGCATTATGAAAATTATATTTACATTTGTTCTATAAAATTCTTCCAATGCCAGTATAAATTTCAAGTACTTTCATTTTATATCAAACTCTTGGAGCTTAATTCTAACAAGCTTTTTAGAATAGCGAAATACAATATCAGATGTTTTCAATCACCAATAATACAGGAATGATAATGGAACAAAGCGGATAAAAGAAATTCAATAAAATTTTCTTTGAATCGCTACTTCTTTGCAAGAATCTGAAAGTTGAGTTCTTTGGCTATACAAAAGACAAAAAAGAAAATGTTAAATAAAAAAGAAAGTTAACAAAACTAACCGTATACATTCCATTGAACAGAAATAATAAAAGGAATAACAAGTGATAACAATAGTGAACTAAAGCTTTTACACTACTGCTAACATAATAATAATGTTTTTCAAATATGTCAAAAAGTTAAGCTATTTTTTTAACAACCTTGTTATGGTTACTAGATTTCGTAACACACTTTGAATTTTGTTTCTCGACTGATGCTGTAGATTACATTAAAAGCCCACAGCTGTGACCGCAACAGCTTTGTTCAAATATTTCACACACGACTATACATACGCAAAATCATAACTATGACCTCCTAAATGTATTTAATTCTACATAAAATTCCATGTTGATTAATCTTGTGAATTATTATATTTTTTTTTTATCATTATCAAATCATATTATCCACGAAAATAGACTGAATATAATATGGTAATATGGGCTTGGGTTTTTAAAACAAAAGATTAAATCCAGGCATTGATGTATGAAGATAGAGTAGCAACAATCGGTCATTGAATGTTATTCCATAGATAATATAAACAAGTTACTTTTTTTTTAATAAAATACATTTCAGTCATTCCATTCCGAATAAAATACCGTCAATATATTGATAATTTGCTTCAGGATTATAATGATAAAATATTGGAAATATTGAAACCACTGGTAGAATATGTTAATCGATTAGCAATTTATTTGAAACTGAATACTTCTTCTTTTATTGTGGAGGATTTGATGTGATTGAAAGTTTAAAAACTCATTACTACCTACATGTGTAATTATAAATTCAATAAATTATGAAATCAAATAAATAGATTATCTATTAATCACTGAACAATATTATTTGCATTTGTTATCATTATGTAATATTATAAATTTGTATTGAGGTAACTATGTCATAAGGGTAAAAAGACCTTGATCTTTTTTCACATTATTCTTAGATTTTCTAGTACGTTAAAGTAATGCAATAAATACTGCTAAACCGATGCTAAAGTGCCTTATAATTTTAGAATTTTTCATACCTTTTACCAAAAAATTTCCGATAAAGTATCAATTAAGTTTCGTGTAATTAAAAGTACAACAAGAATGAATATTAGTAAATTTAAATAAAAATATTATAATAATAACAAGCGTTATTAAATTTATCTAATGGATCTTGAATTAAATATTTATTTTGTTAAATATTTCATATTTTTTATCAAAAATATTGCTAAAAGTAAATGGAAATAATTAAATAAATGTGATGTAAAGAATGTTCTTTGAATAAAATATTTAAAAAGTTACTCGGAATATTTTAATGGATGTCTATACATGTATAGATAAATTTTTAAAACTAAATAAAGTTTAAAACTCACAAACTCGAATTTTTTGCTTCTAAAACTTCAAAAAACTAGAGAGACCAAGTTCATATATTCTCGATAAAACTATGAAATTTATTGACGAATTGTAGAAAGGAAAAAAAATTTCAAACATGCGATCAAGTATTTTATGGAAAAGTATTTGAAAAAGAGAAAGCTGTTAAATATGACATAAATCGAATAGTAATAATAATGATATTAAAAAACATATTTCAATTCTCCTTACCTCAGCTAACTGGTGTTCCTCCCACACCTCAACGATTCGTTTCCTGGACTTGTCCATAATTTCTGATAGCAGTCGTTGTGTTTTTAAATTGCCTAAGGCTTCTATCATTTCGTCTATAGTAACTTTAAGTGGCTTTTCGATATTTCTCTTTCCTCTAGGTCATTTGACCAATTCTACTAAAACTGCTAGCGATAAAATCCCCCGCAAATTCTCTTCGGATCAATCAACGTGTCGTTCTTTCTTTCTCTTATCTCTGCAATGTTGACACCCGTCGTAAATCCTTCACAAAAAAAAAATCATTGAAGATACTCCAAGTGTGAACTTTTATGTATGGAAGACTTTTTTAGTTATATTTACTTTTATTATGATCATAAAACCCAACTTTCAAATGAACATTTACTCCAATTTTAAAATTCAATTGATTTTCAAAAAGGGTTAATAATAAAAATAAAGATGTTTAAATTTTATATCATTTTTATACGCGAATTTTAACCTATTTTTTACTATCGTATGAATAATAATAATATTTATAAGCATTTTTATTTCATTTTTCCGGAAAAATTTATTTTCATATGATTTTAATAAAATTTCCATGTTTTAACAATGAATTTATTCAACAAATAATATTAAATACTTTACTTTCTATTTTTTTGCATAAAATAAATGATCGAAACAATTGTAAGCTGTCGATAAATGTGCAAAAAACAAAACAATGAAATGGAAAAAATTTCATTCCACTCTTATTGGGAAATAAAAACTATTTTATTGAAACTCATCTAAAACATTTATTATAAAACTGAATAAAAAAAACAATTTTTTTTTTTAAAGTAAAAAAAAATAAACAGATAGGATACAACGTGAACTAAGGAATAACATAGTAGCAGGCGGTCATTGACCTATTGTAGGAGGGAGTCTGCATTTGTGGAGACGAGAAAACTCCTACGTGATTTTCTCGTGCGCGGAAAATTTCCGATCGATTTCTTTCGAGTACTCCGTTGTTTCTGTACAGGTGATTCATCAAAATTGTATCACTACTCAACGCCAATCAATCCCGATTACTTGATAAGTTCTCTTGAATGTCTTTTACAGAATCCATTTTATTTATTCCGGATACCAACTGAATAAGCGTATAATAAAAGGCCAACGAAAATACTTCATAATAACCGCAAAATGCCATATCATGCTTACATTATATACAAGTTAATTAAAAAGTGATTCCAAAATTCAAACAAAGCAAGCACTAATTAACTTGTTATAAATGAAGTAATTACACAATAAATCATCGATGAAGGATGAATTGATGTTAAAAGAATCCAAAAAATGACGTTGCTTTTCTAGGAGAGATTTAATTACGCTTGTATGATAATTAAATAAATCACTTTTGACATAAAAGTATGACAAATCATCAGTGAAAAATATTTAAACTTTAATATCTGTCATACTAAACAAATATTTCATGAATCTCGACTAAAATTACATATGAGAAATATCCAACATTCATCAGTACCTTGCACTTTTTTAAAAATTTTTTATTTAATTTTCCGTGGCTTGAAAGTATGAAATTCATTGCATGAGTGATGAAATGTTCCAGGATGTTTAAATGTCTAATAAAAATAGCTTGGTTTGTGTATCAAACCAAGTGATAGACATAGGTATAGACAACACCACTGAGACTCTCTTCACCCCTACAGTTTTATCACGTTTACTCGCGGCGTTGCATCGTGTCCAATTCCACGTTGTCCAATGCTATCTTTTCATACTCATTGTCTGCTATGCACCACGTGTTGAAATAACATTAATAATACAACATTATCTTTAATTAATTGTTAATAAAAATTAGTTTTTAATTAATATAATAAGTAATTTAGTTCTAATAGTTGATGATAACAATAAAGTGTCTAAGTATTTGTTTAACGATTCAAGTCCCTTTTGTCGCGAATCCTTTAGCCCGCCGGTTCGACGATGACTGCGTCGTTTGCGCTGTCTCGCGCTTCTCACCGGCTCATCTATCGATTTTTCCGCGCAGCCTCCGCGGTCGCGGCACCAAGAGAAATGGAGGAATACACTGAGGAAGAAGAGGGAAGTCCTCAGGTTTGTTTCTCATACATATTTTCTCTCTTTCACTCTTATAAGATATATTCATTTTTACATTTGTAGGCTCTTGTAAAAACACCCGTCAAAAAGTTTTTAAATGCATCACATTAATATTAATCACTTAGAAAATTAATTCATTAAGATGTTAGACTGATGCATCATTTCATTATATTACCAGCATGTAAGGAAGAGATTATGTTCCTTTCAAACAAAAACAGTTCAAATAAATTTTAATATTATTATTATTTCCAGTGTTTCATAAGTAACTGAAGAAAATGGAATTGGAAAAAATCTCAATAAGAAATAAAAATTTTAAATAAATTAATTGTAAACATAAAAGTTGTTTCAATGTACTGATGTTTTTTTCAATAAAATTTAAAATAAAGTTTAGTTAATTTTAAATTATGTGTACATTTATAATATTTGTCTAAAAAATAATGTATTTTATTTTTTGATATAAAAAGATTTAACTTCGCAACAAAATCAACTTTAATTTAATTTAAGATAAATTATTATTACAAATCAATTTAAATTATTTTAGAGCACTCTGGAATTAATCCTACATTAACACATATTTGCTAGTTTCACAATGCTCATAAAATGTTATTTCAGCTTAATAACATCAGCTTTATACCCTTGATTACTTTTAAAATTTTTTAGATGGAATCGATCGAATAACAAACACATTAAGAGTTCGAAGGTTGGTTTAATGTTGGGGTGAAGTTAACTTCTCAAGATACTTTGTGACATAATGATTTTTTTAATTGATCAACAAAATAAAGTTGAATGATTGATTTACTATTGGTTACAAAAATATATAAATGAAGAAAAACCCGTGTCTATTGATAAATTAGTCCCTGTAGAACAAACAAACCTGTAATTCTTTCAAGTTTCATTGACGGACAACTATAATTTCCGGCTGAATCTACGCAGAAAAGAATAGACAGATAAAACAGTGGTTTTATTTTTAGTTTTATTTAGTCGTTAATTTGCTGTAATGTTGAACAAAATCTATTGAGGTCTTTTTTCGTAGACAATAGAAAGCGTCTGATCATAACAAAGCTGTTTCTACTGATCCATGCGGTCTTTTTGAATCATACTCATCATTTTTTTTTTCCTCTGCTTGCTAATTTTTCTATCAGACTTCTTTTTATATCTTTTTAGAATTTATAGACTCAAATGCACACAAAACTTTGTAATTGATTTCCCTTCAAAAGTTGGTCTAAATTTTCAATTAAAAAGTATTTTTATTTTTGAAATCTATCTTTGGTTAGTGTCTAACTATAGATATATACTATCTATTCTTCTTTTTGTGCACCGGAAGTGCTGAGGATTTATTAGGATCTTGTGGACTCGTGCGAAAAACGATGACATGTCTGACCATAAACGACCTCGACTACTACAAGCAAACGAGCGCACCATGTTATCTTTTTTCCCACTCTAGTAAGTAGCTGCTCTCAGCCCCTAGTTCAACTTACGAAAGAGATTGACGAAAACACATGAGAAAAGCTCTTGCCCCTTTTTGAAAAAACGAAGAAAATGGTAACATTTATCAAATAAATTGATATACATGAAATTACGATCGTTTAAAGGATAAAGATTGTTGAAAAAAATTTACCACAGCCTAAAGCCCCTTACAAAATCCAATAAAATAAAATATATTTCCTTTAGGGATGAATGATTGTTAGGTAATCATCCGGAACTCTTGAAAATTTTCAACAAATCATATCTTAATCTAAAATGGTCGAACAATAATTATCATTTCACGTTTACAGTTGTTTGTAGTGAAGTCTTTAACAATAAAAAATAACCTTCTTGCTATTTATGATTATATCACAAGTAATCATTACGTATTATCAAATTTTCACACATTAAAATCGACAGTCATCTCAACATCTGTAATTATTGGCTTTCATCCACCACTTATTCAAAAGCTTATCATTCCTATTTATAACTCAGATTATCATAATAATTATAATTACAATTGTAAAATTAACATGATTCACTATTAAACAACCTTGATTTCAATTTAATAGAGTAATCTACTTTTTATTGACTCATATAATTATAACTCATAAAGTAGTACAATTCTATGAATTATTTCATCGAAGACAAGTAGTGTGCATTGAGATGAACTAAGTTTAGTGTATTTTGAAATAAAGTTTGTTGTAGTTTATCCCTCATGACAGCAGTATAAAAATAATTATTATCTTTGAACAATTAATATTCTACAATAAATTGCAAATAATGAAGAGCAGACAAAAAAATTATACAAGAAATACTAAGAAAGGAGAGAAAGAAATAATGAAATTAAATTGCCGGATTATACAATCTTACTCTAGAGAATCAATTTTATTTAATGAGGTTGAAAGACTTTTCAATTGTCAACGTAGCTTTTTCTTAATATCAAATATTCTTCAGTCACAGATCAACTTTACCTACTGCAATGTGATTGAATAAAAATCAGTGTAAAATTATTAAAGTTATATGATGATGTTTCAATTTACTTTGTTTGAATTGCAGTTATGTATACATATAGAAGTATTGAAAATCACTACTCCGTAAAATAGTCTCATTCAGGATAAAATGACAGCTTACTTCTCCAGAGAATTTTATATTTGTACATCAATATAAATTATGAACGAGGAATATTAAATTTCTACATGAACAGTAATACTATTAAAATTATATGACTACATATTGCAAGTCAAATATTTCTATTAAAATTGATTTACAAACTTCTGTATAATTTACCCAGATGGTTTAATGATTTGTTTAATTAATTTTTCGGTAATTATTACGAATTACCGAAAAGATAATTATTTAGAATCCGGCCTCCAGACAAAAATCGCTCAAAATAATTTTTTATGCTTTTGGGGTTATTTCTGAGGGTACAAACAGTAAATTTAAAGTGGGGGAGACATATTATTTCTATTACTTCCTCCGTTACATGGTATAAATTTCATATGATAAATCAATGAATTTTATTAAAATCGGCGATCGTACATTCTAAAAAGTGGTAAAAAGAGGCAAGGGGGGAAGGAGTGTTTATAATTTGGTCAATATTCACTCTCGGGGGGAGGAGTGTTAAAAAAGCATAAATAGTTTGGTAATTTTTAAAAATATTTATGATCATTTAACACCCGCCTCACCTTCCATCTTCCTTTAAAAAGTGTCTCCCCCATC